GTAGGGGCCACGATCAGCGATGGCAGGTGGGAGATGCCACCCAGGTCACAGCCAGTGGTGCTTAGGGGCTACGTAGTGCTGCTGACAATTGAATTCAGGGCATCTCTCTCTCTCTCTCTCTCTCTCTCTCTCTCTCTCTCTCTCTCTCACACACACACACACACACACACACACTACTCACTTTACCATTTCAGTTATTCTCCTGGTCTTCCACTTTATTTTTAACTTTTCTTTGTCTCAACTCACAAAATGAAAGAATGTACAAAGTAGTGATGCATTTAGAACGTAGAATATGTATTCTGATAATTTATAATTAGAAAAAGAGCACAGTGATGGTTGTGACTTTTATATTTTTCTGCTTTGGGCCCATATCCCATAGTGCCCAATGGTTATTCCTGGTTCTGTGCTCAGGAGTGACCTGTTGTAGTGCTCAAGGGACTGTCAGCACTACTGTGGATCAAACCCAGGTCAAGGAGCATGCAAAACACATGTCTTAACCCCCATGATCTATCTCCAGTTTATTTTGTTTGTTTTTGAAACACAGTGACCTAGGACACACATACATATATATTTTTGCACGTCCAAAAGGGATTTATAAGCAGTGTGGTTTCCTCTCACTCACCAGTTTATGAAGTGAAAAAAAAAAAAAAAAACCATGGACCTGTCTACTGTCCTTGGGTCCCAAATTTTTCTTAAGCCCTTACTTCCTTTCAGACGCATCTATTAATTTCATTTCTTCAGACAGGTTCTGCGATTCCTTGTAAACACTAAATTGATTTTGAATTGTTGAATTTGAATTCTTATTCAATTATGTCTTTTTAAGGAAAGCTTCTTGTCCAGACATTCTATTAAACTTGTTCCTATTTATTTCCTTGAATTATCCCAGTTAGTTATAAAATAATAGCACATATATATATAAACTATTATATATGTACAAATATATCATATATACACATATATAACATATACACATAAATGACATATACAAGCACATATACTGTTTCCTTTGGTTTGACTTTCCTGCTTTAATTAGGAGCTCAGAAAAATTGCTGGCTAATAAGAACAGCAAGTCCACCTCTAACAACTTCAGGACTGGGGCAATAGTACAGAAAAAGTTCAACTCACCATATATCTAAATATTTAAAGATTATAAATCAAACTAATTAACTGGCCAAAAAGCTCTACCTGCTGACTCGACACACCTAAGAATAAACACACAAGCTAATATAGAAAGTAGATTCAAATTCAGAGCTAGAATCCCATGTACCACACCTCCTTTTTTTTATATATGTGGCAGCTTTTAAGAACTTATTTCAAGTAGGCTCTTCTTGAAAGATCTTATTTTAAGATATTTTTTCTACTGAAGAATTAAAAACTTAATATTTTGCATGTTTTAGTTTTGGAGGTGCAGGAAATTGAACCCAAGGCCTTGCTTATACAAGGCAAATGTGCAACCACTAAGCTACAGCCCCAGCCTTCACACCCTCTTAAAAGGTTACTTTAGCAATCCAGAGTGACCACACATACATGACCCTTTATATTTTTTTCCCACAGCAAAATTCTGCACAAAAAACTGGAAGACAAGATGTCACACGTCTAGGCAGGAAAACAATCTATGTCATACCTAGGGATGAAGGGGAAAGGTCACAGATATTATTAGCCATATGTTTGTAATGTTTGAGAGTATATCAAAACATTAGGAGCCAGAAAGATAGTACAGCGGGCAGGGTGTTTGCCTTGCATGAGGCCAACCCAGATTTTATCCCCAGTACTCAATAGAGTCTCAGAGACTATAAAATCTAGCTCCCGGAACCGCGCGGCTGCATTTGCGGCCGCGCGACATCTTATCAGGACATCTCTTTATGACATCTTATTATCTCATTCCTACTTTGGACAAACTTGCAGGCTATCGAATGTAGCCTGCCCACAGGGCAGAGTCTGGCAAACTCCCCGTGGCAAACCAAATATGCCAAATACCAGTAACAATGATGGGTCTCATTCTCCTAAAGAGCCTTGAATATAATCTCAGGGCTAGGATGAAAGAGACGTTACTGGGGCCTGCTTGAGGCAATCGACTCAATAGAGGCCCCTGAACCCATCAGGAGTGATCACTGAGTACAGAGCCAGGAATGAACCCTGAGCACAGCTGGATGTAACCTCTTTCTCATCCCTGAAAAAAAAATTTAAAAAGCCCTCATTAGGGGCCAGAAAGACATGCAGTGGGTAAAGCCCTTGCCTTCCATGTGGTTGACCTGGGTTCGATCCCCAATACCCCCACATGGTCCCCCCAGCCCCACCAGGTGTGATCCCTGTGCACAGTGCCAGGAGTAAACTCTGAGCACTGCTGGGTGTGGTCCAAAAACCAAACAAATTTAAAACACACACACAAACACACACTGATGGTTTTCATTTTTCTAAAGCACTGTGGGGAGACGAAAGGGCATGCAAGCACGGGCAGGAAAGGGTGAGAGGGGTCTCATAGGTGGGTCACAAAGAGCCTGACCATCTGCTCCCTGCACTATCATCTTCCCCTTGGACCGGGTGGGACCATCACTTGCCAGGGAAAAGCTGATGACAGGGCCCAGAGCTCCGCCCCTGCATGTTTTTATTAGGCCAGAAAAGCCCCACCTAGGCCCATGCAAATGCCTTATTTCCTCAAGCCCTTCCCTAAGAGAAACAGGTTCAAACCTCCAGGTAGCATAGCCCAGTTAGCACTGCATGACACTTCCCTCCTTCCTATCTCCTGCAGAACACACACTGGACTCTGGCAGCAAATTCACAGGCTCTGGAGTGGCTTTGCTGCCTGTAAACACACCCTGGTAACTGTAGCTCCACTCATGTACTCCCGCAAGAACTCTCAAAGGTAGTTATGATAGAAAGTAATCCTACGTCTCTACACTGTAGAGGTAGGACCAATAACAGTGGAAGTCCTTCTTGAACCCTCACAGGATACTGCAAGCAAATAGAAACAACAAAACTGGATGGGAAAGCTCCACCAGGGAAGGAAGAGCACATCACTCATTTAATTTCCTCAGAGATCTCCCTGGCAGGGCGGCTGGGTGGTAAAGCAGAGAGATTTGCACCAAGACTACAATAGAAGCTTAAAGCCAACAGAAACCCAAAGTCACAGATTGGTAAACAATATTTCAAGCAAACGCTCCCCTTAAAAAGATTGGGGTGGCCACACTAATTTCAAACAACAAAGACTCCAAGTTTTAAAAAAAAGTTATAAGGGACAGGGATGGTCATTTCTTACTGGTCAAAGAGCATATAAATCAAGAAGAATGCACACTACTAAATATTTATGCACCTAATGAGGGACCATCAAAACACTTAAAACAACCCCTCACAGACCTACAGGAAGATACTGATTATACCACAACAGTAGTTGGAAACTTTAACAGTGCGTTATCACCTATAAATAGACCAACTAAACTAAAACTCAGCAAGGAAATACTGACTTTGGAGGAAGAAATGGAAGATATGGTCTTAGCAGACATATATAGGGCACTACTGCCCCAGAAGTCAAATACACATTCTTCTCCAGTGCACATGAGACATGTGAAGCATGCACTCAGCCTGTCCTGTCCTGGTTTTTATACTAAAGTCTTACCCTTGAATTTGCTTATTGTTAAAAAAAATCGTTTTAAATTTCCTTTTTTTTAAAAAAAAAAGTCTCATTTAACGGGCTGGTACACAAAATCATTTTCTGAAGTGGAGGATATAGTTCAAGTAGTACAGCACATGCCTTGCATGTGTCCATGTGAGAGGCCTGCTCAGACCCCAGCAACACCAGGTGTGGCCCCACAGCAATAACAAAACAAATACAAAGTTTTGTTCCTCTTCCCTACAGCCAACTGCAAAGCAGACATCAGCATTCATTACTGCCTCAAAGAAAATTCAAGTTGCTTAGCAGATTTTGTGCTTTGTTTTAGAAACGGTCTATTAAGGTTCTCATACAAGTCCTGGACCTTTTTAGGTTCACACTTTCTACCAGACCCTACTGGTAGATCCTAAGGACCAAGTTTCTTAGGAAAGGGAAGACCTCTGAGCACTAATGAACACCCCTGTGTATGTTCCCAGAACCAGAACACGAAAACAAAACGGGGAACTGGATTTCCTTAGCAAAAGCGTGGCCGTCGTTTTGATTTTGTGGAACAATACTATGATGACAAGTTACCTGAATCTTTACAAACAAAAATTACTGGGTCTGGAAGTCAGGCAGCCTGGTAAAGGCGCAGCAGTGTGCCGGACAGGGCTTCAAAGCCAGCCTCTAGCTCTTCGATAGTAACAGGTATTATAACTAGAACTTGGGACGGAAATTAGGAAATCTAGTTGGAGTACCAGCTGTCAGCAACCAGCTGAACTGGTGTGAGTCACTTCAAACCCCGCTTGAGCATCAGTGTCATGATCTATGAAACTGGCTTAATGACCTTGACATCAGTGGTGCCACAAGGTGGGCGAAGGAGTCACCAATTGCTCTTCAGTTTCTGAACCTGTTGTTAGAGTGAAGACTTGGGTCCCGTCTGCCTTCAAGGTTTTGTGGTTGCTGTTGTTTAACAACCCCCTGGACCGGGGGTTAGACAGGCACAAACTTTCTGAGCTTGACTTCCTACTGTTTCAACTCACCCAAAACACAAGGCCAGCGCGCCAATAAAATTCCAGGGAAAAACAATGGAAAATGAAGAAAAACACTCTAAGCTAGCAAGCGCCGATACAGAAGTGCAAGAAACAGACACAAAAGAACAATCTCCACCCTTCCCCCCTCCAAAAAAAAAAAGCGTCTGTGCGTCTCTTTCCTCCTGACTCAGTGTTAGAAACACACGACCTAAATTAAGATCACTTCTGGAAAGGTCGGTACTCACCGGCACCCGGCTGCTGCCATCCGGGCGGGCACCGGGACAGACGGCGGTGGCCACGCCCCCGCCCCGTAGCCACGCCCCGATCTCCGCTCCGCGGCCGCGCCCCTCCCACGACCACGCCCCCGCCCCGCCCCGTCCCGGCGCGCCCGCGCCCGCGCCTGCGCGCTGGGCAGCGAGCGGCCTCCAGCGGCCCGGAGGGAGGTAAGGGGCTCGCGGGAGGCAGCCTCGGGGGCGGCCCTGCCGTCGCCCAGGACCCTGGCGCCGCCGCGGCACGCTGAAGAGGCGCCCGGCGGAGAGCGGGGCCCCGGGTCGGGAGTGCGAGCGTCTCGGGCGGTGCCTCCCCGCTCCGGGTCCTGGCAGTTTCGTTTTAGGAGGCGCTGTCCGGAGCGAGTGTGGGGAGGAGCGCGGGGAGGAGGACGAGCGCGGCGGCGGCGGCGGCCTCCGGGGTGGCGGGATCGGAAAGTTTGGGGCGCCCGTGCCGGCCCGGGTGCTCCCGCGGCCGTGTCGGGGTGGCCAGCCCCGGCTCCCGGGCCGGCGCATCCCTGCCTGCCGCGGCTGGAGGCGCGTTCGGGGTGTGTGTCTGTGTGTTGGGGCGGGGATGACCCCCCAGCCGGCGGCACGGGTGACCTCGGGCTCGGAGGCGTCCGGGGGACGATCGGGAGGGATGGGTCCGAGCCTCCTCCCGCCAGACCCTCGGGGCGATTGGCCCTCCTGACACCCTCATAACTAAAATAAAATTAAAAAAAAAAACAACTCGTGATCCGAGGCTCAGCGAGGACACCATATGGGGAGGACCTGGGGACCTGGGCTGTTGTCCTACCAACACGACCCCCCAATTCAGACCCAGGACGCAACACCCCGTCCCCCTTCACGCAGTCCCAAACATAAGTAACCATGCCCGAGGGAGCCAGGAAAGCTCGAAAGGGGGATCCCTGGGCCCATAGGACTTGTCCCTTTATGCCGAGTGGCCTGTCCAGCGACTTTGCCCTTTTTTTTTTTAACCCCAAAGAGAAACATGTTTTTTTTTTTCTTTTTTCATCTCTCTCTCGTAAATCACCATGTACCACAGCCCGGTACTGCATCCTCAAGGGAAACAGGAGCCCAAGGGCCCCGAGCACCCGGTGATGGACTGTCCGGCCTCCGGCACGGGTCAGGCGCACGCACCCCACCCCCCCCCCCCCCCCCCCCCGGACTGCATGTACAGGAGGACAACAACGATTGCTGCGCGTCACCGACGTCAGCGTGCGGCCCAGCCAGTCCTAGTGGCACCCAGCAAGGCGGGCGTTTGAAAAATAACTTTGATTTTACAGTGGCAGGAAAGTTACTGCAGTTGCAGGGTGCTCTCTGGCTCCCTGTCGTGTGTCCACCTCCGTGTCCATTCCACCGGGGTAGAATGATCGTTGGGGCCAGTGGCCCAAAGAACCCAACATCCATCCGTCCAGGGCTTATTCCGGCCCCACAGCTCGGTGATGACGCCCGGTGGCGTTGAGTTGTCCTGGTTCCTCTGCTTCTTCCAGCCTGCTGTCACTGCTTAGTCCTGTTGCTGTTCATGAACATTAGTGCACCTTAAAACTGCTCATAACCCGGTGCTCCTCCAACTTTTCCTTGGCTGAGTTTTCAGCCTGGTGAGGGCTCTTTGCCTTCCTCAGTATTTACTGCTCCCATGTCTCAAGGGTGATTTAGTTTCCTCCATTCCTTCTTCTTTCACTGGAGTTCTATAAGGAAGCCATTGCCCTTTGCTATTATTTTTTTTGTTGTTGAATTATTATTTTTCTGCATGGTATGGACTCAGATCTTTTTTTTTTTCTTTCTTCTTATTTTCATTTTTTGCTTTTGGGCTATACTGGTACTCAGGGCTTGCTCCTGGCTCAGGCATCACTCCTGGGGACCACTGGCAGAGGTGGGAGGGAATCCAACCGGATTGGTCACCTGCAAGGCCAGCACCTAACCCCTGTACTGTCAAATACTTACTTGGGGTTTGGTTTTTTTCTTTGGGGATCACGACTGGTGGTGCTCTGGGGCTGCTCTCTGCTAGTGCTTGGGGCTTGTTCCTGACGGTATTCTGGGGAGTGAAAGGTGCCTCAGAATGCTGCTTTCTGTTTTTGATGCATAGCATTGGTACACTATGATCTGGGGGCTTGGTATGTTTATTGATCTTGAGGTGCCAGTTCTCCTAGTTCCCGACACAAGACATGAGACTGTACATGTACTTCCTAGCTGTATATGCACACACTCCATGGATATATAAATTAAAATATGTGTATGTATATAAAGATATTTTGTATGTGTATATGTACATACACATACACACACACACACACACACACACACATATATAAGTTCATCCTAATACCTTTTTATTCTAACCCAATGCCATAGCATATTTGCCCTTTATTTGTGACTTTTCTTTTTTATTTTGGTCTTCGGCATTTCGGGGCCGCATTGGGAAGTGCTCAGGGGTAACTCCTAACTCTGCACCCAGGATTTATTTCTGGGTAGTGCTCTCGGGACCATATGTTATGCCGAAGATCAAGTCCAGGTTGACCACATACAAGGCACATGCCCTATCTGCTGCACAGTTGCTCTGGTCATTGTAAGTTTTCTTTGGCAATGGGAAATTTGGCTTTTGTGTTCTGCAGAATATTTCTTCCTCAATCCCACTGTAAATTAACTCCAGGATTTCCTTTTTAATTTTATTTATTTATTTATTTATTTTTCCACTCCACAGTGCATTTTAATATAAAGAAGCTGTGTCAACTGAACATTAGTTGTTAGACTGAGGAAAACTGACTTACATATTTCAGGGATAAAGTTTATGGGAGAACTGAATTAAGTATCTTGTGTTCAGAAATGCTGTGACTAGTTTTCCTAAAATTGTATCACTTACTTTGTAGTAACTGGGCTTATCACTGTTTTACAGTAGTACTAAGGTGGGTGTGGGTGGACCACACCCGGTAATATTCAGGGATTATTTGTAGCTCTGCACTCAGGAATTATCTCTGCCATATAGGACCATATGGGATGCCAGGGATCAAACTTGGGTCGGCTGTGTGCAAGACTAACACCCTCCCCGCGGTATTATTGATCTGGCCCCAGTTCCAGGATTTCTAACCCATGCTTTCCCCTTGTAGAGGTCCCACCGAGATTTGAACTCGGATCGCTGGATTCAAAGTCCAGAGTGCTAACCATTACACCATGGGGCCTGGCAAGCTCCCCGTGACATATTCGATATGCCAGACACAGTAACAACAAAGTCTCCAATGGAGACGTTACTGGGCCCGCTCGAGCTTTCCCCTTGGGGTAGGTGGCACATTGTACAGTGCTTGGGGATTATTCCTGGCAGTGTTCCAGGGGACCATATGTGGTTTTCTGAGGATCAAACCCTGGTTGACCGCTTGTGCCTTACCCGCTGTAGTGTCTTTGGCCCTACCCATGCTTTTATGAAAAACTAATTAACTAGAGGCTATTTGTGAACAGTTCTTTTTGTCTTTGGCCTTGTAGTAACCAATTAAAATACTACTTTCCCAAGTTACATAGATTATTTTCCTTCCCCTAGCACTCTCAGTGCTAGTTATCCTATTTGTAATACAGTCCACTTCTTTATGAGTTTGTATCTCGACCCCCCACATTCTGTTCTTACTTAATTTACAAAAAAATCACTTTTCGATGTGCAGTTCTATTATTTTTTTTTCCTGCAGTGTGGGAGCTTGTAGCTAGGATCCCACACTGTAAATGAGCTGTACTACTGAACTTACCTCCTGATTCAGGACAATGAATTTTATGTCTTATTTGTCCCCCCCCCCCTTTTTTTTTTTGCGAGGAGGCCAGTACAGATATGCAGTTGGGCCACACCTGGTTAGTGCTAAGGGGTCTCTCCTGATTCTGTGCTCAGGAGTGACCCCTGCTGGTGATTGAGGGGAATCATGTGGTGCTGAGGATTCAAACCAGGGTCTGGGGCACCACAGCAGCCTCCTGGGACACAGGTGCCTCCCCTCCCCCTCCTGTACTGTCTCTCAGGCCCAGGCATTGCCAAGGCATTTTCACAAATGCATGTACTTGTGTACCCAGGACCACTGTCATGAAACGGAAGAATTCTAATACCCCTAATATTTGATTATTACCTAATCTAATACTTGATTACACTTTTAAAAAATACAGCTCTACCGAGTTTCAAAAATTGTTCTCTTTTTGTTTTTCCTTTTCATAGACTTATTTTATATAGTTGCCATAAAAATACCATAAGTGTGTGTGTGGCGGGGGGGTTGTTTGATTTTGTTTTTGTTTTGCTTTTTGGGTCACACCCAGTGATGCTTAGGGATTACTTCTGGTTTTGCATTTGGAAATTACTCCTGGCAGTGCTCGGGGACCATTGAGATGCTGGGGATTGAACCCGGGTCAGTCGCGAGCAAGGCAAATACCCTGTCAACTGAACTATCGCTCCAGCCCCGTAAGTGTATTTTTATCCTCGTGTTCTATTGACATCAGAAATATGTTCCAGTTTTCTGACTGACAAAAGCAAGGAATGCTGAAATATACTTATGCTTACCCAATCACACTTATTATTTTTAAATTTTTTTAATTGTAAGTGCAGTGCTTTACAGTACTGTTAATGATAGGGTTTCATGCATACAGTGTTTCAACACCGCTCCCCCCACCAGAGTGCCCACTGCCCTTCACCAGTGTCTCGGTGCTCCTCTTCAACACTCTACTCCCACTCCCACTGATCACATCTTTAAGCCACATTTTGTGTATTGAACTTACCTTCCCTAAAAGTTTACAAACATTTGTTGAGCATATTGATGATGAATCACTGCTTGACAATGTTCTATTTCAATAAAATGGTTTGTGCAATAATTTAAAACTGGAGCGATAGCATAGCGAGTAGGGTATTTGCCTTGCACGCAGCCAACCCAGCTGACTGAGTTCAGCTCCTCTGTCCCTCTCGGAGAGCCTGGCAAGCTACTGAGAGTATCTCGCCCGCATGGCAAAGCCTGGCAAGCTACCCGTGCTGTATTCGATATGCCAAATACAGCAACAACAAGTCTCACAGTGTTACAGGCCCGCTCGAACAAATCGATGAACAACGGAAGGACAGTGACAGTGACCATGTTTTCTATAATTATTATCATTTTATAAAAATGAAAATGATAGACGACAATTATCTGGCCAGAAGGAGACTAAGGGTTGCTAAAGTTTCTTAGGAGGTCCCTGAGACAGAATGTCAGCTTGGCTAGGGCTCTCAGAAAATAGTAGCTTTTGGTTTTGGGATCATCCCTGGCAGTGGTTGGAAAACCAGGAAGTGCCAGGAGTTGACTCTGAGCCTCCCGCATGCCAAGCCTGCGTCAGCCCATTGATCAGCCTGTGGAGCATCTCTCTGACCCCAAGGCAACTGGTTTTAATTGGACACAGGGAAGCTGAGGGGCAGAGTTCGACATTGACTAACCTGGAAATAATCACTTTTTGAACTCAAGAAAGATAATTACTATCAGAGTACAGAGAAAATAGTGAGATCAAGCGAAATATTTGACAACTTGGGTTTGTTAAATACACTCCAACTGGTGGAGAAAATTGCTTGAGTTGTATCTCAAATGGTACATGACGTTTAGAGGCAGATGGAATGTAAAAGAACATTCAGACAGCGAGAGCATCATTGCAAAGTCTGAAGTAGAGGTTGATAATAGGATCTGTCTCTGAGCATTCTATTTCCTTATTCAAATAGGAGGGAAATCTTGCAAGACTTCTTTTCAGAGGAGAAGCATGTTGAAATAGCTTGTTTTGTTTCTTGGGCCACACCGGAGGCGGGGAGGAGGTTGGGAACTACTCCAGGCTCTTAGAGGTCCTCCTGGACGTGCTAGGGGACCAGGCTTTGCTAGGGAATTGAACCGTGGCTTTCTTGTGCAAAACATGTGCTCAGGGGACCACAATGATAGTACAGTGGGTAGGGCATTTGCCTTGCACACGGTAGACCCAATTTTGATCCCTGGTAGCACATGCATTCCTTCCAGTACATCCAGGAGTGATCCCTGAGTAAGCCCTGAGTGCTGTGGAGCATGGCCCCCTCCCCCCCTCCAAAAATAAAATCATATGCTCAGATCATTGAGTATCTCTGGGTCTGAAATTAGTATTATATATACAAATTAATTGGTAATAGGGATGGGGGATGGAGAGGCAGGCCAGTTAAGACTCAGTGATAACTCAAAGAACAGGAACAAATGTTTGTATGTGGGAGCCTGGGCTCATTTCACAGTACCACATGGTCCCTGAGCACCATCAGGGACCATGCTCTTCCCTAGCACAGAGCTACGAAAAGCCCCCGAATACTGCTGGATATGGCCAAATCCAAAGACGATGCTGCTGTAATATGCAATCCATGCAAAGCTGTTTGGCTATAGCAGTAGGATTAGTAAATGTAAATGGACAATGATAGGGATTTGTTTCTTTGTCGTTTCTGTGTGAGGGGGCTCACACTGAGTGGTGCTCAAGGACCACTCCCAGCCTGATGTTCAAGGGGTCACTCTTGGAAGTGCTTGAGCCATATTCTCCACCAGTCCCTTACTTGCTGAGAGTACATGCTTAGACTTTTAGGGAGGCAGAGAGATAATACAGCGGTCGGGAGTTTCCCTTACAAGTGGCCTGCCCAGGTTCCATCTCTGTACCCTATATGGTCCCTGGTGCCCCACCAGGAGTGTTTCCTGAGTGCAGAGCCAGGAACAAGCCCTGTAGCACTCCCAGATGTGGCCCAACCAAAAAAAAAATGTCTTTTAGTAGCTATTTTAATAAGGTGTTTGATAATTAGCTCAGTTTTTGTGTGTCTGAAAATTATCATTTTGCCTTCACTTCTGAGTAATAATTTTACGGAGTAATAAGTTTCCAATTCCTTTAGCACTTTGAAGCTATTCCTGTCTTTTTGATATCTTCTCTGGTGAAAAATTTCAGGGTGTTCTTGGTTTTATTTTAGTTTATCTGGTTTAATTTTTTAAAGAGTTTTCTTTGATGTCCTATAATTGCCCTTCTATACATTTATTTATGCTGCTTAAGGTCAGTGTGTGTTTTCAATTTGAGGTCATATGTTTTAATTCTCATTTTATTCACTTTAAATGAGACCTTTTTTGCTACTTTTTTTTTTTTTTTTTGCTTTTTGGGTCACACCTGGCGATGCGCAGGGGTTACTCCTGGCTCTGCACTCAGGAATTATCCCTGGCGGTGCTCAGGGGACCATATGGGATGCTGGGAATCGAACCCGGGTTGGCCACATGCAAGTCAGACACCCTACCCGCTGTGCTATTGCTCCAGCCCCCTTTTGCTACTTTCTTAACTATTTTCTCGGTACTTCTATTTGTTGTAAAGTCTCTCACATTATTTTCATGTCCCTTTTTATGTTTTTTAAATATATATCTTTATTCTGTGTTCTGAGTTATATCTTTCTGTCAGTAATTCTCTCTTCAGCCACAGTATTTACTGTTTAACTCATCTTTTGTGGTTTCATTTCTGGGAATTTAACCAACTTGTTTTCAAATTGACTTCATATTATTTCATTATTACATACTTTTAAAGTGTTTCTCTTTTTTAAATTTTTTACTTTTGACAACACATGCTTATTTTAATCTTCTTTTTAAAATTACTTTATTATCTCTAGACTCTTTGGATTTTCCTGTTTTAGTACATGTGTAGACTGACTCCGGGCAAATTAACTTTCCATGTATATATTCTTACTCACTAACATTGGTGGACGTTATTTGTGGTGTCTGTGGCGTTTCATTTTTTGCTCTTGAGCTTAAACCTAAAAAGCAGTTACTAATAGATGAGTAGTGGAGTCTGCATAATCAAACACTTCAAGATTTCGCACTGCAAAAGAAAGGAGGGGAGCAGCATGTGTTTGGAGTGATTGTTCTTCATCCTTCAGGAGTGATAGAGCGCTTAAAAATTTTGCAGAAGCAATGGGTTGTCCTCCAGAATAGCTAAAAATGCACCCAGAATTTTTAATAAAGATCTGGGGACCCCACAGAGTCAATTATCCCTCTAGAGTGTTGGTTTAAAATCATAACCCAGGATGAATAAAAGTCAACTTAAAAAAATTTTTTTTATGGAAGAGGTTGTGGTTAATGTGATAGTATGAAGTTAGGGTTCATGAATATGGTTTTCAAGCTTTATTAAGCAGAAGACACGTTGTTTATATAAAATCTAATAAGCTCTCAAATAGGTATCAGTAAATTTTCTCTAATGAAACTGGTATATGATCCTGGAATCTGTTGACTTGATAACTTAGTCTTTTCCCAGGCATGCTACCTTGGGCTTTCTGGTACAAGAGCACAAATCCACCAGCAAATAAGAAAGAGCATTTGATAGTATTTTAGGAAACCTGGATGTGTGGTACATCTCTATCACTGGTCATGTATACAGGTTGTAGTTAATAGTAATAACTTTATAATAAAGGAAGAGTTGGTCCAAAGGACATCAGTGAAAAGAGTTGCATGTTATGTTAGAATGCATTTCAAATATATATATATATATATATACACACACATATATTATCGTTACATTAGAGTGACATTAGAAGGGGAGTTGGATGTAAGCAAATTAAGAATATAAGCATATATAAAGAGTGAAATAGTTTTTTCCAATTTTACCGTATGCAACTTATTTGGGCTGGAGCGATAGCACAGCAGATTGGGTGTTTGCTTTGCACGCAGCCAACTGGCCAACCCGGGTTCCATTCTTCCGCCCCTCTCGGAGAGCCTGGTAAGCTACCAAGAGTATCTCGCCCGCACGGCAAAGCCTTGCAAGCTACCTGTGACGTATTTGATATGCCAAGCACAGTAACAACAAGTCTCACAATGAAGACGTTACTGGTGCCCACTAGAGCAAATCAGTGCACAACGGGCGGACAGTGCTACAGTGCCACTTATTTATTTGCAGTGCCAGGGAAGAAACTAGGGCCTTACTGATACCTATTTAAAAGAGGTTATTCAAAGTCCAACATACCTTGGGAAATTTTAAAAATTGGAAAGTATACATCTAATTTTTTGTTTTCATTAGAAAATTTTAAAAATTATATTCTTGGGCTCATACCAGGCAGTGCTCTAGGGTTTTCCCCTGCTCTGTGCTTGGAGGTTCTTCCTTCAAGGAGGTTCCTCCCTGTAGTACGTGGGGTACCATGTGGTACCAGGACTTGAACCTGGGACTCCTGCATGCAAAGTCTTCGCTTCAGCCCACTGAGCTATTCCATCAACCCGCATTCTAGTTTAAAAAAACCATTGAGGACATGCTTATATACATTCTAGTACAGTATATACATCACAATAGAAAGAACAGTTAATTCTGAATGAGGAAATGATTGTGGATTGTTGATTTTGTTTTTTTTCTTTTTCACATGTCCTAAACACACTAAAGTAAACAGACCCTCCTTTTGTAGAGAGAAAAGGTTTCGAAAGAAAAGATTTCAAAAGGAAAAAAGCGAGTCACTCTAGTCCAGCATTAAACTGTACTTTGAATGAAGTATAAAAACGGTTTAATGGTTAGCTTTCAGAAATAATGGAAACAATCATGAACAACTTTGTAACTGTGTATCTCAGAGTGATTCAGTTAAAAAACAAAACAATTAATGGAAACTGATGCCAGGCTCAGTGGATGTGGCTCAGTCCTGCATTCTTTGCATATATGAGACCCTGGGGTTAATTCTTGGCATTGCAAAGGACTATAAATAAATAAGTACGAACATGAAAAAAAAGCATTCTAAAAAATGTTTTGCTTCCATATTTTTCAGTTGTTGCAAGCAGAAGATACACAATATTTTTTTTACGATGTCTGAAGATGAAGAAAAAGTGAAGTTACGACGTCTTGAACCAGCTATCCAGAAGTTCATTAAGATAGTAATTCCAACTGACTTGGAGAGGTTAAGAAAGCATCAGATAAATATTGAAAAGGTGAGTTTTTTCATCTGACACCACAGGGAACAAACTAGGGCCTTACTGATACCTGATTAAAAGAGTGACCAATTCTCAGATTTCTTGTGATTTTAGCAACATTTTGAATATTAGATAAGAGTCTTTGCTGAAGCATTCAACTTTGGTTGATTTAAACACCATTATTTTTTAAATTTTATTTTTTGTTTTACAAACATGTCTCATTCTGTTGGGGAGGATATAAGTATAGACTGTATAGCTTTTAAATTATGCATATTGATAACATGTTGTTTATGTTAGACATATGCATGTATGATTCGCAGCTAATAATTAAATTGCAGGCTGGCTTTATTGTACACTATCAGGTAGAGGACTTCAGCCTGCCCTCATGTTTTCCACACTATCGCAAGTGTTTTGAACTTCGAGTCTGTGTCTGTCAGTAACTCCTATTCCCTTCAGGTGCATGTAGATTAAGGAGGAGGGGAATTCCCAGTTTCACTGTTTCCACTGAAGAAAAGTCCAGATCTGAGAAATCTTGCTTGCATGTCACTTTAGCAAATAGGTACTGGGAGCAACTAGTTTGAAGGAGTCAGGTGGGGTTTGCCTTCCAGGGTATGGTGGGAAGTTTGTGGCATTAATAATGGAGCCATTGGATGGCTCAGTAGGATGTATTGAATCAGTCAGTCACCCTGCCTCTTTTACTGTGGGATAATGCTTTGTGTCTTCGGAAGGATCTCTCCCCACTATCAGCTCAAGAGCCGGGACTGTGGGTCTCTGTGTTGGGCCACGGTTCCCAGGTTCTTCAGCATTTTCAAGAATGAAAATATTGAGTCATAAAGGTGCTCTGACCCACAATTAGTTAGAAATAGAAAAGTTTATTATAAGTTAGAAGAGAAAGATGAGGAAGAACTTAGTGTAGGACTCAGTTGAGTATGGCTCATTTTTGTCCAGGGGTGGGGTTATAGGAAACCTGGGTCTTAATCAGGTGACAAAACTTTTAGAAAGGACACAAGGATTCCCAATTATTTACTGAGCAATCTGGCTGGTTTAGGCTCTTCTCGCTCATCTATTTCACTGTTTTCCTGGGTATTGCCTGTTTCTCTGAAGTATTCTGTGAGCCTAAAGTGTGGGGCAGAAGTTACAGCCCTGGGAAACTGTTAACTTCCTCAGACTCGGAAAAAGCCCAGGAATTTTCAAGAATGTTTCAAATGTAGAATGAAGACAGCTAAAAGTAGAGCCAGTAGCAACAGCTGGCAAGGGGAAACTGAGGCTTTCTCTTTCAGTGTTATTTTTAACCTCTGTGGACCCCCGTTGCTGTGGAAGATGAGGGCATGGAAACAGTGGCCATTGAGCCTTTCAATGGAAGTATATATTATTGTGAGAAGCTCTGTCAGTGTACTTTGATTCACCTTTCCCTGATAAAAAGAGACAGTTTTTTCATATGCCTGTTAGCACCTGTGTCGCTGAGGAAGAGTCTCTTCAGCTCTTGACCTCTTTCCCTCCCCCCACCCCATTTCTTTGTTTTGTTTTTTTTATTTTTTATTTTTTTGGTTTGGGCACCACACCTGTCAATGCCCAGGGACTATGCCTGCCTGGCTCAGTGCTTGGAAGTCATCCCTGGTGGTCTGTTTAGATTGTTTCTTTCCTTTCTTGTCCTAGTCTACATTTAAGTTTGGTGTGTCTCCGATTTCCCTCTTCTTTATCAGGGCACAGGTAGGGGACCCCCAAGCAGTTCCCAGGAGCGTCCGGGTTCCCTCCTAGCAGCTCTGAGCCAGCAGTTCATTGCAGGGATCAGGTGCTGCTCAGTGCCAGGGGTTACCCAGGTCACTTAGGTGGTGTTTGGGGGCTTCATACCTGATGTTTTTCAGGGTCTACCAAAGGCTGCATTCAGCAATGCTTCAGTGACCGTATTGTACCCCGGATGCAACAGAGGTTGGGCCGCATGCAAGGCTTGTCCCTAAGCCCCTGATCTGTGTCTCAGGCCCCAATTTCCCTTTTCTTATATATGTACGTGAGTATACAGTCATTCTTAGACCTTTGCCTCAAGCTTCACAGTCAGTCAACAGATATAAAGCCACAACCCCGGTAGAAAGGTGGGTGGGGAGAGAAATGGGTTTATTACCAACTTGATTCGTTGTGACAGATTTATTAAGAAAATTATCCTTCCTGAATCATACCAATCACTCTCTGCCAGAACATTTATCCTTTAGCATTTTGTGAGATTTTTACTTATTGTGAAATTTTTATATGGTGTCAGAATAATTATAATCTACAGTGTAAATGACAGTTGAAGCTAAGCAGTGAAACTCATTTTGATCTATATTTTAATTTTTATCCTGGATCATTCTGCTTGTCTAAGGAATTCTAGTTGATTTTTTAAATTTTTTTAGATTTATTTTTTATTGAATAACTGTGAGATACAGTTATAAAACTTTCATGTTTGAGTTTCAGTCATACAGTGATCAAACACCCATCCCTCCACCAGTGCACATTCTTCACCACTAATGTCCCCAGTATTACCTTTCCAGCCCTTCCCCTGCCTCTGTGGCAGACAGTTTCCCCCATACTCTCTCTCTACTTTTGGGTATTATGGTTTGCAATATAGATACTAAGAGGCTATCACGTTTGTTCTTTATCTACTTTCAGCACACATCTCCCATCCCGAAATGATTCCTCCAACCATCATTGACTTAGTGATCCCTTCTCTGTTCCAGCTGCCTTCTCCCCTCTGCTCATGAGGCTGGCTTCCAACTATGGAACAGTCTTCCTGGCCCTTGTGTCTACTGTCCTTGGGTGTCAGTCTCATGTTATTTTATGGAATTCTAGTTTAATTATGAAGGTGTGTGTCTCCTCCCCGCCCCGTCCCACCCCCCTCTTTCTGTCTCCCTCAGACTGAAGAGCATGTCTTAATAGATACTTCATGGCAATGTAAAACCATCCAGAAGCCGTACTCTGGACAAAAGAGCGTAGAACTAAATCTGGATCCCAGGTGTCTGGTGGTGCCTCGCTTTCAAAAAGACGTATTCTTCCTCGGGGATGGGTGTGGAAAGATAAAATAGGTATGATGTTAGCCATCAGTCATCCAATACAAATTTGGAAGAAGAAAGTCGGACTGAAGGGAAATTGAAAGTGAGCCTCAGCGGGGTGATTCTGCAGTTTCTGGAACAATGGGAGCTGTGTGTCCGGGCCACCTGCGGCCCTGTTCCAGCCGTCCTTCCGCATTGCGTTTTACTGCACGTGATAGAATTGACGAGGGTAGAATCTTGAAATTTGGAGTGTTATCATTCAGCTTCCTTGGCTTGTGCAAGATAAGCTTTAGCATGGTTAATAGGGATAGCACGAGAGCGCATTTGGAACATAATTTTCTCTGTTTCATGTGGTGTAAGTTTGGGGAAAGCTTGCTAAAGTGTAGCATCTTTTATACTAGTAGCACGGAAGCACTGTCCTCCCGTTGTTCATTGATTTGCTCGAGCGGGCACCAGTAATGTCTCACAACAAATTGTGAGACTTGTTGTTACTGTGTTTGGCAGGTTGAATGTGTCAAGGGGAGCTTGCCAGGCTTTGCCATGCGGGCAAGATACTCTTGGTAGCTTGCCGGGCTCTCTGAAAGGAGTGGAGGAATGGAACCCGGGTTGGCTGTGTGCAAGGCAAACACCCTACCTGCTGTGCTATCACTCCAGCCCCTATTATACTAGTATAAAGTAGAAATAGGAAAGGTAGGAAACCTGAGGATAATGTAAAATTGATAAGGGTCTCGGATGTTTCTTTGCTCGTATTTTTCAACTCATAGTTTTATTTGGGCATAAGTAGCAGCTCAGCTTTAAGTAAAGACCCAGACTTTTCTTTTCCTGATCTCGATTCTCAACCCACAAAAGGGCTGCTCCAGATCCAGCAATCACACCCACTTGCAGCTTCATGCCAAGGTAGAAGAATCAAAAATCATATGTTTCTATGTTTTTTTTTCCTTTTCAAGGGATATTCCTATTCTTACCTCATGGATTGTATTTTATTTCTCTATTCTGATTATATTTTTTCTTGGCACACTGGGGATCAAACTTAGGGCCTTCCAAATCACAAGACTAGCATTCTGTTCCTGAGCTACATCTGCAGTCTAATGATTTGTCACTGTCACTGTCCTCCCATTGTTCATCGATTTGCTCGAGCGGGCCCAGTAACATTCTGAGACTTCTTACTGTTTTTGGCATATCGAATACGTCACGGGGAGCTTGCCAGGCTTTGCCTTGCGGGTGAGACACCCTTGGTAGCTTGCCGGGCTCTCTGAGAGGGGTGGAGGAATCGAACTCGGGTTAGTGATACCATTTTTAAATTTTTTTTCTTCTAATGGATTGGGGAAGTAACTGAGAGATAGAGCACGTACTTCATTATTTGTATAGTGAAGTTTTGGATTTTATGTCTTCCACCTAAAAATCTTTTTTTCTTCTGCTTCCTTGCACTGTCCCAAAATTTGTTTCCCTTCCTTCCTTCCTTCCTTCCCTCCTTCCTTCCTTCCTTCCTTCCTTCCTTCCTTCCTCCCTCCCTCCCATCCTCCCTACTTTCTTCCCGCCCTCCCTGTCTTTCTCCCTTCCTCCCTCCTTTCTTTTATTCCTTCTCTTTTTCCCTCTCTCCTTTCTTCCTTCCTCCCCTTTATTCTATTCTTCCCTTATCGTTCCTTTTTTTAAAAAAAAAAATTTGAGATTTGAGGCTGCACCAAGCAGTGTGGGATGTAGCTGGGGGGCTACTTCCAGCTCAAGGTTCACTCCTGTCTGCGCCTGACCACGTGCCAGGCAAGCACTTTAACCCTGGTGCTACCTCTCAGACCTTCCTTCCTTCTTTCCTTCTGCTTTCCCACTCTCCTTCTCCCACCACACCCTTCTACCTCCCTTCTCCTCCCTTCCCTTACTTTGACTTCTCTTCCCTGTTCCCCCCTCCTTCTCTCCCTTCCTTCTCCCTTTCTCCTTTTCACCCCCCTTTTTCCTTTTTACCACTTTTGTGTGTGTCTGCCTATAAGGCTAAAGGCTTTTTTTTTTTTTGCAATAGTTGTTCATATTTAAGGATACTGATGGGAAATTGTGTGTGTGGCGCAATCCGTCTGTCTGGTTGTCTCTTAGGCAGTGCCGTCCCCGTAGTTATTTCATCTTTCTTGAGTTGTCCTGCCGGCTTCTCCTCATGTGCTGCTCCTTGCCTCTCTCCTCACCACTCACCCCTCTGCAATCGTCGCATTCAGGTCTGTCTGGTGTGCCAAGTCACTTGCAGCCTTTTTCTCATCTGACACCTCCTGTTGGCGGCGACTGCTGCTGCTGCTGCTGCTGCTGCTGCTGCTGCTGCTGCTGCCTGCTGCTGCCTGCTGCTGCCTGCTGCTGCTTTTCTTCTTCTTTTGATTCCCAAGTGTCTTACAAGTCCAGGGGGTCCCACTGGCAGTTCTCAGCTTCCTGGGCTGGTGGCTCAGTGTAGGGGCCCAGGGATGCAATGCTGCTCAGGCCCTGTGGCTGCAGGGAACGCCCTGGGCCACCCTGGTGGTGCTGGGGACCTCCAGGATGCACTGGGAATCAAACCCAGTTCGGGTGCATGCGAGGCGTGTGCACCTAACCACTGAACTAGCTCTCAGCCCCTGGATTATGCTTTTTAAATTTCCTGCCATCATTTTAGTTGGTATTAGCAAGGAGCAGAGATCAACATTTGTCTGCTAGGTGGAGAGTGAATTGATCACAGAAAGAGCCTAAAGAGAGAGTACAGGGAGCCACTGAGGTGCCGCTCCGCAGGCAACACTCCGGGTGTGATTCCCTGGCACCACATATAGCTCTGCTGAGCACAAACTCGTGTGCCCGCCTTCCCAGATAAAAAGATGGTAAGGCAGAAGGATGATGTGCGCAGCCCTTGTCGGCTTCTGCCTTCAGCTCCCCAGATTTCCTCCTGTTTCTCTCTCCCCATCCCACTCGCTCCCTCCTTCCCTGAACTTGCTTGACATCACTCTTTGGAAATGGGTTAAACTTGGTAATTGTGCTGGGAAAATAGTGTGCTGCTAGTAAGACTATGCCCAAGGAATGTTTTTCTGAACGTATAAGGTCACGTTTTTTAAAAAGTTGATTTTTTTTTGGGGGGACAAACCCAGCTGTGCTCGGGGCTTACTCCTTGCAGAGCCATATCAGGTGCCAGGGATCGAGCCGGGGTCAGCCTTGTGCATGGCAATCACCTTCCCCACTGCTGTCTCTCTCCGGCCTCTGCATCCGTTATTTAGAAGTCAGTTTTACTGCTGCCTGTCATTGGTTTTACAGTCACTAAATGTATAGGACTTTTTACATGGATTTCAGCTTATGAGGTAGACCCTACCTTTGTCTTGTGCGAGCACCCTTTCTAATCTAAATGCTGGGCTTTTTATGTGTACCAGTATTTACTTGTTCTCTTTATCTTGTTGAATTATGATCTTTCAGCTGTGTAATTATTCCTTGTAGCTTATGTGTAGGCAATTATGCATTCATTGTTTTCAAGGCACCGATGAAAAACAAGACATTGGATAAGAAGGGGGCAGCCCCCAGGGCTGTCACCATTTCTCTAAATTCCCCCAGAGCTCTGGTTCCCTTGTACAGAGATTTCCCAAAGGTTTGCATTGCTATTATAGCCTGTAGTCAAGTGGAGGTAGTTTCTTTTGTGAGAATTGGGTCAATATTTGCTGGTCTCTCTGGGAGCCTTTCCAGTACTTTGAAGTTCCTTACAGATAAGGGAATGTGTTACCAGGATCACGTTTGCAAGGTCTTTCGGTTCACGCAGATGTAATTTCCCCAGGTCTGTTTACTTGGGCTCATTTGAAATATCACTTGGATTCATTTGAATGTGTGTTCTTCTACTTTTCTTGGTTTCTTTTTTCATCTTAGTCACGAGGTTATTGTAGAATTTTCTTTCTGGGGAGGATTTGGACCCCCCACCTGGCAGTGCTGAGGGACTATCTCTGGCACTGTGCTCAGGAGTGACCCCTGGTGGTGCTCAGGGGAACATTTATGTGCCAGGGCTGTGAACCAGGGTTTGCACCTGCAGCTAAATGCAAGGCAAAAACTTATGCAGAATAAGGAAAAAGAGTCTTGGAAAAAAATTATTTTGGTTTTTGGGCCAAAGCCAGCTATTTAGAGCTTACTTTTGGCTCTGCACTTAGGGATCACTCCTGGCCCTGTTCAGGACCATAGGCAGTGCCAGGAATCGAACCCTGATCAGCTGCATACAAGGCAAGTGCCCTGCACACTATACTATCTCTCTGGCTCCCTTAGAAATTTCCTGGTGTTTTGATTTTATAACCTTTCATGCGTTCCATGTGTACATGGGGCATTTTCACATATATGCCCTTTCAGCTGATTTCTGGGCAGACTATAAGTGTGTAGCTAAGTTTATGTTTGATGTTGTTATTTACATCTGGAGTATTTTGTGTTTTCATTTCTACTAAAATCAGGATGTGATGCTTGATGTTGGTTTTTGCTTTCAAAAACGTACCATATATGATGTCATCATATTTTGTTATGGTTTTTGTCAAATAAAAAATGTTCTGTTCCAAGCTCATCAAGTTTTAGCTAAAACTCATAGCTAAATATTTCTTGGTTTAAAAAGAAAAGGGGGAGCATGTATATTAGATGTTAGTTCTTCTTTAGTACAATACAACGATCTTGATACAGTTTATTAAGTGGAATGACTAGAAATAAACATTCTTAGCAATTTAAAATATCAAAACCTTTCACCCTCTTTTGATTTAGTATCAAAGATGCGGAATCTGGGACAAGCTACACGAAGAACATATCAATGCAGGACGCACGGTTCAGGTAAGTCCATCATACGGCTTTTAGTAAGTCAAAAAAAAAAAAACAGGCTTGAGAAAAATTCTACTAAGACAAGTCCACATGTTGCTGAATCATTTAATATGTGCTTTATTTCTATTTTCTTGGGATGCTTTTTTCTTTGAGAGCACATTTTTGCATTTATCAAATGCTATGTATGTTTTAAAGATTTAAATTCAAAGACTTGTAGTTCTTTGTTGCTTGTTATTTATTTTGGCATATTGAATACGTCACGGGTAGCTTGCCAGGCTCTGCCATTCAGGCAAGATACTCTGGGTAGCTTGCTGGGCTTTCCGAGAGGGGCTGAGGAATCGAACTCAGGTCTGCCATATTGGCTGCATGCAAGGCAAATGCCCTACTGCTGTGCTATCGCTCCAGCCCATTTATTCATTTATTTGTTTGCTTATTTATTTATTTATTTTCATGCTGGAGTTTGAATCCAGGGCTTCACCACAACCACATGTGGTCTCCTGAGCACCAGCCCGAGTGATCCCTGAACATAGAGCCACGCGTATGCCAGGTGTGGCCTCTTCTCCCCCGCAAAATAAATAAGTAGTAAAAACTATCTTTCCATAATTCTTAGAGTATCTCTGTTCAGAAGTTCTTAATTTAGGCATAGTCTGAGTTGACAGTCTTTTCTCTTATGACGGATGCATTCGTTGTCCTGTTCAAGGACTTTGCTGTCCTGTCCTGTGTCTGAAGAGAGAGAAAAACATTTTGTATGCTTTTTTTTAATGTTTTAGATCTCTTTTAACATTTACACTTTTCTAATCCATCTGTAATTGGGGGTTTGAGAGAGGTAGGCATTAAAAAATATATAATTTCATTTGGAAAACCAGTGTCTCTCACTGTTGACTGGTTTCTGCTACTTAATTATCACAATTCTGTATGCCTGTATCTGTCACTGGTCTTATATATTATTTCACTGGATAATTTATCATTTCAATATTAGGTGCTAGTCTATACTATACTATCTCAAGACAGTTTTAAACTACAGCTTCATATCTAATAGTATAATATCACCTTACTGTTCTTTCAGGATGATTGTGATTCTACTTTACTCTCTCATTTTCTATATGAAATTTGGAAATTGCTCTTCAAATTCCATATACAGGGCTGGGGATGTGACACAATGGTAAATTCCATACCATGCATACATGAGGTCTGGGTTTGGTCCCTGACACTGTATCCCCCTCCCCCCCCAAAAAAAAGAAAGAAAAAGAAAGAAAGTGGAGAACTGCCAGGAGACCCAAAGAGTTGGTTATTATATCTGGTGATTCTGGAAGCCTACACTATTTAGTTAACTATAAACTTGGCAATTTAAAAAGAAAAAATTGCAGGGAGTTTAGGACTGGCTGCAGCTCACTGATAGAGCACTTGAATGTGTGATGCCCCTAGTTCAATCCCTAGCATGAAAAAAGATAAAAAAATCTATATACAGTCTTGTGGATTTGGAAATTATTTTTGTCTTATCCAACTATTTAGAAAAATCTGATAATTTATAATGTCTAGTTTTCCTCCCTTTTCCATACTCCTGCACTTTTATTTTTCTCTAATATTTGTATGTAGAATACTCTTCTGTGTTCAACTTATGATAGACTATACACTTTTTAATTTAATGGGGCACGATACTTTTTATTGAATGAAACTGCCTTAAAAGAAGGGAGGGGGGGAGGAAGAGAGGAAGTGCATGCCCCAGAGAGAACACGGGCTTGAAGAGCTAGCTGACTGAGGGTGCTTTGTATAGCTACCCACAGACTGACAATCCTGTTCCATCGGCTTCTACAGTATGGCCCCCTACAGTCCCCATCAGCAAGTGGAGTCCAGCTCCCTTTTCCTTGAATTTGGGGTGAGGCAGAAAAAGTGCTGCCTGAGGAAAGGGCTCTGGTTCCTACCTGTTCTTGTGCAGATGCTTGCTCTGGGGGGAATATCATGGCGAATGTCCAGGCTTCCTGCGACCTCCATTAAGGAGAGAGCCATCATCTGCAGAGAGCTAGAGCACAGCTCTTGGCAGCCCAGCCTAAGGCCTTTTCGACAGCCAACTCAGTTAACCCTTCCCATGCTGCAGCCTCAGCAGACTTCTCATTCAACCACATGAGAATCCGAGTGAGAACTATTCAGCTGAGGACTTTCTAAATTCTAGTGTGCAAACTCATTAGCAAAATCACATGGTGGTGGGAGGGATCCTGGGATCATTGGTGGTGGAAAATGGGCACTGGTGGAGGGATGGGTATTTGATCATTGTATAATTGAAACCCAAGCACAAAAATTTGTAAGTCTACAACTGTACCTCATGATGTCTCACTAAAAAAAAAAAAAATCACATGGTGGTTTTAGGCCCTAGAATTTGGTAAGAATTTTTTTTTGGGGGGGGGGCCTCCCACACCCGGCAGTGCTCAGGGTTACTGAAATCCACGCCCTACACGTATTTTATTTATTGCTTGCGATCTATTTCACTAATCTTTTTAGTCTTCACAATTGTGTGCTTTTGCATTTTTCTAACTTTTCTAACATTTTCTAACTTTTGGCGATGTATATAAAAATGGGCTAATTTTATTTCTGTGCTCATCTTTTATTTTTTATTTTGGGTGACCACATCCTGCAGTGCTCAGAGATTACTGTGCTCAGATCTGTGCTCAGATCTGTGCTCAGCGAACACTCCTGGCTGGGCTTGGGGACCATTTGTGGCGCTTGGTATTAAACCTAGGTCTGTTGAGTGCAGAGTCAACACCTTGTCTGCTGTACTTTCTGTCCAGTTCAGTTCATTCTTTTTTTGTGGGGAGGGAGGGGATGTCCCACACTTGGCAGTGCTCAGAGTTACTCCTGACTCTACTCCGGAATTACTCCTAGTGAGCTCCAGAGACCATAGGGGATGCTGGGAACTGAACAGGGGTCAACTGTGTGCAAGGCAAATGCCCTACTTGCTGTCCTATCACTCTAGCCCATGGTCCAGTTAATTTGAATATATAGATTTTATGAGCAGTTATCATTACCCCTCCCTTACCTTGATTCTTTGTTGTTGCTTTTGTTGTAATGATCAGTGGCTACACAGTTGTTTGCAGGAGCGATAGCACAAGGGTAGGGTGTTTGCCTTGTGCACGGCCAACCCAGCCCACCCCAGTTTGATTCCTCCACCCCTCTCGGAGAGCCCAGCAAGCTACTGAGAGTATTTCGCCCGCACGGCAAAGCCTGGCAAGCTACCCATAACGTATTCGATATGCCAAACACAGTAACAGCAAGTCTCACAATGGAGACATTACTGGGCCCGCTCGAGCAAATCAATGAACAACAGGAGGACAGTGCTACATGCTGAAGGACACATGTTTTAGTTGAGCTCGGGGTCATAGAGCTGTGTCACTTGGAATTACACTGTGTGTATACATATATATATGTGTACCTTTTGATGTCGTAATAAGTGTAATCCACACTGTCAATACTTAGTGTCATAACATAAGTAAAGAATATTCCAGACTTATTTTAATTAGCTATGACTCTGGAACCTTAAGTAATTATATGATGTCCAGAATGTGTTTGCTCTGAGTTGTTTAAATGCTTACCAGTGGACTTGAGTTGTGGTTTTGTTTAATGCTATTAATTATGATAACAAAGGTTTTCTGTTGTACACAATTTTAAATCACATCTTGTGATACATATTAGGAATCCTTAAATCAATATTTAACAAGGGCAAATATATGCCCAGCCACTCTTTTAGTCATTACAGAATTAGCTTTTTAAAATAAATTTAACTAACTCAGAATAATTACTTTTCCAAATTATCAGTATAAAAAAGTATGTAGTTAATCATGTATTTTGCTTTTAGAAATTTCAGAACCGAAGAGAATAGTACAGAGGGTAAGACGCTTGTCTTGCATCTTGCTAATTTGGGTTAAATCTGCAGCCATGCACGTGGTCAGGAGTGATTCCTGAACACAGAGACAAGAGTAGATCTTACTGTAATGATGATATGAGCCTCCCACAACCCTGCCCCCACTCCTGCCCTACCACACACACAAAATCAGGGCTGGAGAGATAGAACAGAGTTAAGGTGCTTGCCTTGCATGCAGCCAGCCTTAGTTCAATCTTAATGTTACAAGGTCCTCTGAGCAACAGTGGGGAGTGACCCCAGTGTTGAGCTTGGAGTTACTCCCAGTCACCACGAGGCGTGGCCCCAACAAGGAAACATTATTGAGGTGGTTTACTTTTAAAGATCTATTTTATTGCTTATAGATCATTTTTGTTTGTTTGTTTTGGTTTTAGGACAATACCCAACAGAGTTCAGAATAATTGCTTTTCAAAAAAATGTACCAAGTTTCACAACTGAAGAGATATACAGAGGCTCTGCTCTGGCAATGCTTAGGAACCATAACGGCCAACAAACCTGTGTTGGCCATTTTTTTAAAAAAAAACTGGTTATTAAAAATTTCAGAACTTAGAACAGCATTCTTTTTTTCTGGTCTGATTACTGTCACTGTCACTGTCCTCCCGTTGTTCATCGATTTGCTCGAGCGGGAACCAGTAACGTCTCACAACAAATTGTGAGACTTGTCAAACGTCTCACAACAAATTGTGAGACTTGTCACTGTTTTTGGCATATTGAATACATGCACGGGTAGCTTGCCAGGCTTTGCCATGCAGGCGAGATACTCTCGGTAGCTTGCTGGGCTCTCCCGAGAGGGGCGGAGGAATCGAACCCGGTCAGCCACATGTAAGGCAGATGCACTACCCTTTGTGCTATCACTCCAGCCCAGGGGAATCAGACTGTTTAATTAAAACAATGCATTGCGAAGTCCCGTGGCCTGATTACTAGAAGAGCAAAAATATTTGAACATTTTTCTGTATTTTAGATACTCTTCTAGACATTGGAAATTAACTGTGAGCAAAAACAAAAAGGAAATTCTTATTCGCGTTGAACTTAGATACCGGAAGTACTGAGTGAAGAGAACAGACACTGTGCGTGTGTGTGTGTGTGTGTGTGTGTGTGTGTA